ATGGGCAAATGTCCGTGTGACAAGCCACAATCTTCTGAGGCTTCCCACAACCTTCCGCCTTGCCGGCAACTTTGCAAGGCGCCCACGGGAAAGCCGGTCTCTCGAAACGCAACACATCATGTAACACCCACACACAACAGTCGAGTGAAATCAGCACGGAACTGTGAAGTCAACTCCTGTCACACGGACATATGCCACACTGTCAAATGGGCATATGCCACACTGTCAAACGAGCATATGCCACACTGTTAAACGGGCATACACCACACTCCTGGTGTCATACGAGAAAGACCTACATGTATGCAGATTGCTAGATGCCTTGGAGCCTCAGGTGACAAAGACCCATACATACTAGATAGGTACCGTTTCCCTTTGGCATAAGAAGGCCTTGAAGCCCAACCTTCCTCTAGAGGTTGAAAGGACCAACAAGGCCTTCGAGACCAAAGTAGTTTATCAGCGGAATTGAACTACTGTTCCAAGCCCAGAACACTGCCCTTGTCACAACTCCCCCCTCCAGCACATGCAGCCGCCAGCCAACCACTCATTCAGTCAACTCCACGGCGCGGCGACATGGACCATCACCAGGCATCGAGGTGGATTGAGATGACTTCACACACAAATCCACTTTCCTCCATGGAGATCCAACATCTTCACGAGTTAGTCTTAACTGATGCCGACATCAACCGGTTACCAGCTTGGTCGAGGTACCGTCAGGGCGCGAGATTCAACATTTCTCATATCGACCCCCCGCAAAAATCCGATCCCTCAGCCCCATTCAGTTACTGCCACCGCGCGGCGGTCACCGTCAACGATCGAGGTGGCCGCTTACTGGGGGATTGTGCACACTAGGGGCATCCAGTTTCTTACACCCTCCGGTAATTACGCCGACCATAGGCGCCGCGGGTCCTGTTATAAGTGCGTAGTGTAAGATAGAGTGATGGAGATAGATAGTTGCGGGAGGGCTGTCCGGGTCATTGTGGCTCGGGCACCTTCCCGCGGTGACCTGCAAAGGAAGCCTTGTTCCAATTCATGAAGTGTGTTACCGCGTGGTTCCCTACGGTCTACCGGGGAGTCGAGGGTCAACAAGTACACTGTGACGAACCGTTACAAGCACGGGAGTATTATAACTGGGATAGAACAATAGAGTAACAGAGTAGTAGCCGAAAGGTACTGGTAGATTGTGATAGCTATTGCTTGCTGAAGGTCCGGTAACAAGAGGCCTGGGGAAGCCTTCTTTTATACCGGCCTTCCTGGACCCAATATACCGGACCCGTGGACCCGACCCTTCGGGTCCTACCTAATTGGTCATCTAGTCTAGCCTACATAGGATTCTCTGATTGGATCGTAACATACAAGCACCACCTCAGCACCATTCCAGTAAGGGCTTTGCCTGTGCCGGACGGCATCTGAGAGGATCCTGCAGGCGCTAGGGAGCACCCCATAAGCGCCGAGGGATGGTGGGTTTTGCTTGAAGTTTGGCTGTGTCTTTGTCTTGGAGCTGGAAACATCGCTTTGGTGACACTGCCTCATCCAAGCGAGGCCAGCATTGGGAGAGCCTTCAACTTGAGAGCCATGAAAGGTTCTGTCGCACGAGGATGTGTGTCTGTCAGAGACAACCAGCGGTATGTCGAGCTTCCCTTCCTTGCTGTTTTCCCCGAACACTCAGTTGCTTCCATGATGACCACACGGATCTTTTGTTGAGGGGGACGAGCGGGCGCTCGCGATCCCGACTGAAAGCCAAATTCGACTGGAGATTATCTGATTCAAAGCAACGTCTTCTTCCTTTTTCTCAAAATCAGGCTGTGGTTGGGAGAGGCTTTGCTAACACCCCAACTGAATGAACAGGGACAACAGACTCTGTGTTTGGACAACGCAATGCTTTTAGCAATTGGTAAGCCAGCTTTCCCTTATCCTTGTTTCCGATACCCGCTTGGTTCATGATGATCAAACTTGCACATCTGTGTGGATTTTTACTCTTTTCTTGAGGTCTCCTAAGGCCGATAAAACAAAGACACTTCTGAGACCGAGCAACACTCTCAACACTTGTCAAGTTTCCACTTGTCTTTGGCTCGTTGCTAACGGTGTTCAACGCAGGCTCTTCCTTCTCCGGCCTTCTCTTGCAGTCTTTCTGACGATGGCGAACAACATCATTCCCCCCGGTAAGCCATTCACCCATTCCCCTGCCCGGTCGATGATGACAAAAACTTTCCTTTTCCTTACTTCGAGAGGGCAAAGCTTCCACAGTCGAGGATTGTCACGGCTCAATGAGATCAAACATGCGCACTACTGAGGCCGACACATCTTCTTCAAACAATTGTCTGCATTTTTTTGCTTGGTCTCTTTGCTGACATGGTCATTCACTGCAGTTTCCAGGTTCTCTTCTATCTCAAGCCCTTGGTGAAGTTCATGGTCAGCAACGTGGGTAAGCCAGACACTCTTCTTCCTCCCATCTCTCACTCCCCCCTGGCCAATGATGACGAAAATGTTGAGGTTGTATTGAGAGCGCAAAGCCTTCACGGTCTATACGGCTGTCACGGCTCCATGAAACCAATAACGCGTACTGATGCCATTGCATTCCACCTCGCCCACTGGGCGATTCGATTACAAGTGTTGGGCCGCGTTTACGCTATGGGCAACACATGATTTACACTGGCAATAGGCCTCGGTTTGCCCTCGGATCAATGGTTTTGGTGGACAGTTAGGGCATTGCTCTTAATTTTGTATGCTAGACTCACCGGTGCGGCACGTCTCATGCCCTACGGGAGGCGGAAGTAGACGTTAACAACAACAACAACAACAACAACAACAACAACAACAACAAAAAGAAGACCCACACCAAGACAAAGGGTGGGTCATACCACGTGATTGCGCGAGTTGTAAGCGCCAAGTTTTTGGGCCCGGTTCCCACGAGAAACAAAACGTTTTGGGTAACGTAGACTGTGATGTTGGCGTAAGGGTGCTTGTTACAGTTCTAGCTATCTGCAAGCGGAATTCAAACTGGTCACTCTCAACGCCGCCAACCCTACAGGGATCTTCCTGTTTCATCGCCTAACTGCCCTTGAGTTCGAAGCACAATGCCGGTCTGGCGCACAGTCCCCAAGCTTGTCCCCTTCCGGTTGGCCGGCATCACCCCACCCGAAATCATCAAGCGAGAAACGGCCCGGGCCGCGGCAGGGCTCCATACCCTCCCGGCCCACCGCCCGCTTACCCAACGCTTGCGCACGCCCATCCTCAACTCTTCCTCCAGACACAATCTGGCATCGAGCGAATCCCTACAGCCTCCACAAGTACAACATGGACTTCCAGTATCGCTACCTCCGGGGTCCCCCGATTTCCTCCAAAATGAGCGACAGGTCTCCTGAAAACTTCGGTATCCGTGACCATTATATCTTCCACATCCCACCTCTCCTCTATTTCCTTTGCAAAACTTTCCAAGGACTTATAATTCCCTATTACCCACCGTCCATCCCTTAATTGTTCAGCAATCCCCACACATGCAGTCTCACCGAGCATTCCGATCGACTTTGAATCTTCAACGACCGCCGCCAATCTGATCAAGTCCAGGCTGTACTAGCCTTCGTCTTCGTCACCTGCCTGAGCTTCGCACTCCGCTACGAGTCCAAATGGAATAAATCTTCCATCAAAGGACGCTGGGCATACAAGCTCGACTACATCAAAGAAGTCAATTATCCGCCTGAGACACGCACGTCGGCGCCGATAATGGTTGCTTCACACGATGATTACCGAATGGTACTGCACAGCGAGACGACGAGGCTGCTCTGCTCCGTGGCGTTTGCGGTACTATTGTGTCCGATTGCGGAATATCTATTTTGCGCCAAGAAGATGGTTTCTGAGCGGTTGTATTCACATTTACAGGGAAACACTCACGAAGCGTTGATGAATGGGCTGTTCATGATCTATCTAGTCCTTAGATATGGCACGCTCCCTTGNAACAACAACAAAAAAAGCCATTGCATTCCTACAGAACTTGCTGGGATCTCTCGTCTTTGGATGTCTTTGCTGACGTGCCTATCACAGGTTTTCGGTCTCTCCTCTCGAGCTCTTGCCGCGACTCCGCATGATTAGAAAGTTGGGTGAGTTGGACAGCCATTTTCTTTTCCCACTTCCTGCTTGGGGATGATGACCAAAAACTGCCTTATTCGTTGAGAGTGCAAAGCCTCCACGGTCCAAAAAGAAAACCGTCACGGCTCCATGAGATCAACAATACCAAATGGACTGAAACCACCAGCGAATCGTTCAACACTTGTCGGCATCTCTTGTGTTTGGATCTTTGCTGACGGTGCTGCATGCCATCACAAATTGCTTTGTGTTCAGCATCCACCGCAATCAGATCGGAAGCCTTTAGTAAGTTAGACACCCGTTTCCTTCTTCTACTTCCCACTTGGGGATGATAACCACATAATCTGCTTTCAAGAGCGCAAAGCCTTCACAGTCCATTAACTGTCACGGCTCAATGAGACCAAAACCACCAAATGGCCTGAAACCACCAGAACTTCCTCAACACTTGTCAGCATTTCTTGTCTCTGGCTCTTTGCTGACGTTTGCTCATCATAGGCCACTTTGACTTCAGCATCCATCGCTACTCATGTCGGCAACTTGGGTAAGCCAGACCCTCCTTCCTTCACTCCCCGGATGGCCAATGATGACGCAAAAAGGATACTGTTTTGAGAGTGCAAAGCCTTCACAGTCCAAAAAACTGTCACAGCTCCATGAAACCAAACACGAGCAAATGCACTGAGGCCATCAACAACCTTTCGCAGCACTTGACAGCTTTCCCCATGACTTGGGCTGTTTGCTAACGGGTTCAGAACACTGCAGCTTCTCTCACTTCCGCTTGGCCGTTTGGTCGCAGTTTAACCACTTGGTAAGCCTCCCACTTGTTCCTCACCTCCACCCCACCACCGCTTGCATATGATGATCAACCCAAAATACCCTTCATGTACATTTGCTGCATCTGAGAGTGCAACAACTTCAACTCCTTCATGACGCGAAAAAGCCAAACGCCTGAGGGCAAGCAACAAGATCCACACCCGTGTTCGATTCTCTCCGATTCTGATGGGAAGCTAACTGCCTTCGTCTTCCAGGCACTTGCCCCTCCTTTTCTACCAGCTAGGAAGAGTCGCACCGTGGTAAGGCAACACTTCCTCATCTCCACCCCACCACCCGCTTGCACATGATGATCAACCAAAATATTTCATCATTTGCATCATCTGAGAGTGCAACAACTTCGACTCCTCCATGACGCGAAGAAAACCAAACGGCCTGAGGGCAAGCAACAATTTCCGCACTTCCATTCCAGCCCGCGCTTGTGACAGATAGCTGACTGCCCTGTCTTTGATCTTCCAGACACTTGCCCGGTTGGCCCTCCTCGTCCTTCAACCAACAAAAGCGCGCGGCGCACCTTCGTAAGTCAACCCATCCCTCTCTCACTTCCACCAGACTACCACACCACCCAAGCTTGCCAATGATGAAACAGGACTAAGCCATTACTCGAGAACCAAAAACGTTCGCCTGCTCAATGACAGAGAAACAAGTCCCATACCAATTTCTGAGGCCAAGCAACTTTCCTTTTCTGCACCTGCAATCATTTTCGCATCAGTTGTCTCTGATCTTGGCTGACACCAGATACTTTGAGGCTTCCCGCCGACCCTTCTTCCAGCAGACACAGACTTCGACCGGGCAACCATGGATGGTAAGTCAAACGCCTCTCACTTTCACCACACCCCAAGCTTGCCAATGATGAAACAGACTTGCCATGTTCTTAGACCAAAAGCATTCGCCTGTCAAATGACAGACAAAAAAGTCCCATTCCATTTTTCTGAACCAGCTTCATTCACCTTCACGCGCTTGCGCTCCACTCTTCTCTCTCTGACACGAAGCTGACCACTTGACATTTAAATCTCAAACAGGCAACACTACCTTTCTGTAAACGTCGCGAAGCGCAGGATGACCCAGCGCGACACTCGTCAACACTCCTCGATCGCAAGGACTCCTTCACTGCTCCCCAACGCTTTTAGCGACGGAAGCGAGCGGCGATTCGGCGAAGCCAACAAACAGCGCTTAGCAACGCGTGAAAACGCAGTCGACGAGAAATAAAGGTACGCTGACTGCCATTCCCCGTTACCAACACCACCACAACAACTTCCACGATGAAGACATCTTCTTCAAGTGAAGACCGAACCCAAAAACATACTTAGTGGTATCCATGAGGAAAACAACTTAGTACTCATTCCAATCTGACTGGAAGCACCAAACGGCTCTCTGTAACGCGAACACTCGTCTTTGAGTGACTGTTGCTAACTTGCCGCACTTGCAGAAAGCGCCAGATGGGGCAGACGCGCCATGCAGCGCGAAGTGGTTTCCGGGTTTGGATCTTTCGCGTACTTGCACTTTTGTCAGCTCGCGAGCTTTGGACACCAGGCAACAAGCCCTTCGTTGAAAGGTACGTCGTTCGCATCTGCCACTTCCCATCGTTAGCACTGCTCCTTTCCATGATGACAATCGTTAAGAGATTACACTTATCAAAGAGAAGGTCTTTCTTCCAAGGCCGGCTCAATGAAGACCCAAGCCTATGAGCTTTTATCTGATTTTGGAGCATTCCTCTCGTCCGCTTGAAAGCACAAAGCCGTTTTCTCTAAGACAGTTGCTAATCATCTGTTGCTGGACGCAGGCAATCACCTAGCTTCTCTGCCATGAGGGCGCTCTTTGATCTCGTTTGCAAGTTAAGCCGCTTCTTCCCATGCCGCGTCCCTTCGCGTTAGCACTGCTCCTTTCCGTGATGATACCGGTCAAGACATCTACACTTACAAAGAGAAATTCGTCTTTGTGGCGACGGGCTCGACGAAGAAACTGATGCTTCTGACTTTGGAGCCCTCACCGCGCGTATATAATCTGGCATTTTCTCTGGAAAGCATTGCTAACCGTCAAGTTTGACAGCAGAAATACCTCGAGCCATCCCACGAAGGCAAGCACCAAGTTTGACAATAGCACCGCCTCGGAAACCTCTCATGGAGACTCAAAGACTTCGATCAAATCTGCAAGGTACCCGATGCTTTTCCTGCTTCTGGTCCCGTCAGCTCCCCTTCCATGATGATTCCCAGTCTTAGACAAACCTGTCATAGAGCGTTCACTTCGTGATTAGCTCAGTGATGACATAAAATTGCTTAAATTTGACGTTGGAGCACCCACCTCGTTCATGACTGCCACTTTCTCCTTGAGGAATCGGTGCTAACCATCTGCCGATCACCCTCCAGGTTTTCATGTGCCTCGCGGCGTCATACATCGTCATGCCCATCGACTTTGCCCCGACCGGTCTCGACTTCCCTCCAAATCGCGCTCAAAGACGGCTTCCCTACTCCCCTCCTCCGGGGCAATAGCGCCTGAGGGTCAGTTTGGAGTCGACCTACACAACTCTATATCTCCGCATCACATTTCAACATGTGGTGCGGTCACCCAGTCTGCGAGCTCAAGGCCCCGTTGTTTCTCTCCCCATCAACTGGGGTAGCGTGAAGCGGGCAGCGATCGCAGGCTGGGCCGGGGCTGGGCCGGGCTGGGCCGCTCACTGACCGAAGTCATCACACGGCTGAGCCAAAGGCGTTGAGCCCAACGTCACCAACGAATCTACCGGTAGGATCGGTCAGTCTTCGCCCTGCTTTCAAGACACCTCGACGGTCGCAGCAGGATCTGCGGTCTCAGGCGTGCTGTCGGCATCACGAGCATCATTCCGGGTCATCAACACCCCCGGACTACCTTCCTCCTCCTCGGCATTGAAGAAAGCCTCAAAAAAGCCCACTTCGCCGGAGCTGCGCGCGCGCCTGAACGTCGGCTGCATTTCCTCCAAGTGGCTCCTCAACAACTCCCATCTTTACCACCAGATTCTCCACGACTCGAAACGCCGCGTGTCCATTGCCCAATGCAGTCGAGATGCATGTGTATCGAGGTCGGCGAAGTTGAGTCCAACGTCACGCAACCACTCAGCTTTGCCGGTGATCGACTCCAAGGACAACCAGCATGAAGCTGGACGTGAAGACATTCATGGATGAGCATTGCTGCCAAGGTGGAGGAAGCACTCCAGGAGCAGTGGTTGTCGTTCGACGACGACTACGCAATCGACCAGGATGACGGAGAGCCAGAAGGCTGAGCGCCTGGACCGCCCTTCTACCCCGGCATGAAAATGTACCAGCAACAAGTAAATAACCCCCTTCCATTGCCGGGCTAGGAGGACCAGGCCGAGAACGACAAAGTCAGCAAGTTTCGAAAAGGTGACCTGCCGGAAATTCCCTCGAGAATCCCATGGGCTCGAGGATGCGTCGGCTTCGCGCTTCGGTGGCGGCTCCCATCG